CTCATCGGAACGTCACTGTGTTTCCGGTGAGCCCATTGATGCTCCTCCTACTTCTCTCCCGATATCAAAAAAATCGTCAAACTTCCCTGACCCCTCTGCAACCTATCAGCAACCACGAAACCATCGGAAAATCATTAAGGGCTCCTAAAAATAGCCAGTAACCCTTGGTTTCTCCTCTTCTACTCCCACAAATAGTTCTGAAACTCCGGTAGAGTACCACTGCGACTGTTGCAGTTTCGCCAGAGTATTGGAAAATCTCTATGAAGCCCCTGTTCCCTGCTCGAGAAAGCCTTGGCACTCTCTGAAGACGTCCTCACGCTGCGAAGGTTCACGACTCACTGAAGCTCATCGAAATTCCTGAGTGCCTGTACACTGTTTTGGCCGGAAGCTCTTGCCGAAAGTCTCTTGTCGAAAGTTCTCTCGCTCTAAAATTCTCACACTGTTTTACAAAAGTGAAACAGTAAATTGGGGTTTTTCCCCTTTTATAGACGAGAGTTACGCAGATTGCCCTTCCCAAGTTCGAAATGACACTCTGGTCCTCATCTTCAGACGACGATAGGCCTGGGCCAGGGCAGGTCAAGTCCGAGGCCTGAACACAAATCATTGCCGCCTATGCCTCATAAATCTGCTATCGTCTGATGCTATCGCCATGCCTTATCGCCATGTGCTTCACAAAGTGACATCGCCATGCGCGTCACAAAGTGTTATTCGCCACGCGCTTCACAAAGTCTCATCGTCGTGCTCTTCATAAAATGCTATCGCCGTGTGCTTCACATAGTGACATCGTCGTGCACTTCACAAAGTGTTATCACTGCGTGCTTCACAAAGTTTTATGGCCATGCACTTCACAAAGTGTCATCGTCGCACGCTTCACAAAGTGTCATCGTCGCTCGCTTCACAAAGTGTCATCGCCGTGCGCTTCACAAAATGCTATCATCGTGCGCTTCACAAAGAGCTATCGTCGTGTGCTTCACAAAGTGTTATTGCCGTGCGCTTCACAAAGTGTTATCGTTGTGCACTTCACCAAAGGCTTAACGTCACGTGCCTTACTCATGTTAACGCCATACGCCGCGCCCCTCACATTTCCTATGCTAGCACCATGCGCATGCTATAGCGCTGCCGACTGTGGATTTTTCCCACCCCAGATTGTGACCTGTCATCCCCACTAGCAGGCCACCACTTTGCATCCCAGGGAGTCAAGTCTCTAGTTACAGCCCATTATCCTCATGGAGTCACATTCCCTTACCAAAATGGTCTAGGTGCACGACCCTAAACTACACGGTCCAAACTATATGACCTTAAACTGTAGCGGAGGTCTAGGTGCACAACCCTAAACTAAATGGTCCAAACTATATGATCTTAAACTATAGCGTAGGTCTAGTTGCACGACCTTAAACTGCATAGTCCTACCTGCATGACTTTAAAATGCATAACCATGGTCTGAGCTACAAGACCTTAAACTATAACACGTCCTTATAGCAAAATGTTAACGGCACGACAAATATTCCATTCGCGTGACTTTAAACTGTGAAATGAATGCACCTCTCCCCCAGGTGTAGTCTACTACTATCCCCAGTGGGGTTACACCTGTGCTCCGACTGTAATTCCCAGTGGGACTGCATGCAGGCCACTGTCCCTCATCCCCAGTAGGAGTCACATCCGTACTGCAGCCCATTACCCCCAATAGAGTTAGGGTCATTCTTATCTCTCCAATCATCAGTGGGGTTACATCTATGCTCTGGCCTACCATCCCCACATATTTACATTCATACTATTGTTCATTATCCCCGTGGAGTAATATTTACCCTATTAATACCCAGTAGGTCTGCTTCTCACCAAGCCACTATCCCCCAGAGAATGTTACCTACATGGCAACCCACCAAAATGGTCTAGTTGCATGACCTTAAACTGCATGGTCCTAGCTGCATAACGTTAAATTGCATATCCATGGTCCAAGCTATATGACCTTAAACTATAGTGCACGTCCTGACCACATAACGTTAAAAGGCTTAGCATCATGGTCCAAACTATATGACCTTAAGTTGTAGTGAAGGTCTAGTTGCACGACCTTAAATTGCATGGTCCAAGCTTCATGACTTTAAACTGCATAGCCACAGTCCCAGCTATATGACCTTAAACCATAGTGCAAATCCTGACCGCATGACGTTAAAATGCGCACAAGTCTCGGAGGCATAACCTTAAAATATTCCCCCACACACATGCACACGCCCTTTACGTGCATTTTCACGCACGTCTTCCCTGACCGACAGGATCGTATACGCGCACCACCTTCATTACTTCTCCAGTGAGTCCATTCACTTCATTACTACCATCCATCATTCCCCAGTGAGTTTCACCCATGCTCACATAAATGGCGAACCATCCCGTCATCCATACTCGTCGTCAGCTAGTGGGTCATCATTTTTTACCTGTTGTTCATGCATCATGCATCCTTCATAGGTAGCCTCATGTCATATCCCCAAAGTAAGTCAAACCACCACCATACTCACTCCATGGCCTCAACAGCTGCCATCCATCACCATCATGGTCCAGCTGTATGACCTTAAACTATAGTGCATGTCCTAACCGCATGACGTTAAAAGGCTTCGCACAGGTCTCGAAGGCATGACCCTAAACACGCCTAGATACAAAAAAAAAAAACGAGCAAAAAAAAAAGAAGAATAATGGGCATGGTGTAAACTTGAATAGGGGAACGCCATGAGTAAAAATGATAGACGGGCATGGTCATGAAACCATAAGTAAAAGAGTTCCGTCTCTACGATGCTGCTTCCCAAGTCCAAGTGAAAATCCGCAAAGGACGTTTAGACCAATAAACAGGTTGATGCAACACCCGCCTCAACAGGTAGCTTCAGCCCACATTCTAAGGAGAAAAATCCCTGGTGTCACAATACCAAGATCCAAACATATGAGCATCAAGCAAGATTTCAACAGTCTGAGTTCATTTACAAAAAGGACTCGAAAGATAGAAGACTCACCTAGAAGGCAAGACAAGTTTCATGAGGAAAGCACTATTCCCACGAAGTCACAAACACACTCTAAGATGCTAAAGACACGTTATAAAGGCAAGAAACTGACAAACCAGGGTGAAACCTGCCAGAGACTTCATGGTTAAGTCTCGGCATGAGGTTGCCTCGCCAAAATCCCTCCCTAGCCAATAGGCCCAAACTTTCGGGACAGGCCAACAAATGCCCTTGACTGGACCCTACAGGATGGGGCCCACAAAGGTATCCTGTTCATTAAAAGCAAACCTGGTGTAGTAGCAAACAACGCCAACCAAAGGTTCTTTTGCTGTCAATCCAAAAGCAAAGACCAAATGGGAAAAATTTCCTTCAGCATGGCACCCCAATACCAGATAGGCCTGATTCTGACCAATGAGGTCTGTAAAAAAATTCCCAGCTGTCAGAATTGCAAATAGTCCCTTGAGGGTGAGAACTTTGATAAGATCCCTCAAAGTCGCTTCTTGCCCTAAAGTCTCCACGAATGGACTTGTACATTGCATCCAAACGTCTGAGCATCCTAGTTACAGCATTATGTGAATCTTCTCGGCATTCATGTAGTCATGTGGCTAGGAAGAAAAAAGAAATAAAGCAAGAGGAAATTTTCCGAATTTTGTCTTTCTTGCTTCTCTTGAAGCACAACATTCGATGGGGCATGCTATTTGAAGACATTTTTCAGCACCATGGGTCCCTGATGCAGAATAAAAAGAGAAGACGGTCAATAAAGCTTGACAGACAGTGGAAATTTGGATAGTCTCAGAATGACTCCATAACAGGTCAAGATATTCATAAGGATTCCAAAAATTTTCTTGTCAAGTTTCGTCACATTCCGACATCTCTAAGGCAATGCAAACCGAGAAATTGTTTTGACAGACAGCCTCTAAGACCCTGAAACGGACCCCATAACTAGAACTATATTTTTCATGTATCAAACAGCTGTGAAACTACCACCATTGGATTTGGCACGATAGAAAACCCAAATGGGTCAAGTTTCAGCTTAATCAGACACTCCAGGACAAAGTTATGGGCAAAATACCAAAAAGGGGTAGGCTGCACACTATTCCTGTGCGCCCTCACTTCACCAAATCACCATTAAAGGTGACTGTTTTTGCAGCCACGCGCAGTGACTTTCGGGATCTATATATCACTCGTCCCGAGTCAGATCACACTCAAATTTTGTTAGCGTGTTCGTCTCATCAAGATAAGCGTTTTGATATGGGATATACCCCATGACGATGCCCGAGCAAAGAGAAAAGTTAGAGATAAATTGCTGATCCATGAAGAAAGTTGCAGGAAAATCAGCAGCGACATGCTTCACTCGAGTGGTCAAATCATGGCGCTCGCACATTGGATTGACGCGAGACTACTTCCATCGTGTGCATAAGGTTTAGGGTTATCTCTGGTCCGAACCCCATACAAGATGAATGGTCGGATTTCACACATGAAGCCATTAAAGTGACTGAAAATTATGGCGATGGAATTCCAGATTCCAACCAAAACTCTAAAGTTGTGAAATCTTCGTCTGGACAAGAAATCGATCTGCGTTTGTTACCACGCGATTGTGACAACATATTCAATGTGATCCAACAAAGATATCATGAAAAAACATCAAGAAACGAGCACACTATTGATCTAAAGTTTTTAATATTCATCCAAATTTCAAGTGGTCTGATCGTGGCTTAAAAATACAATCCATGGCTCGAAATTGATATCAAATCGATCGGCATACTGAGCCCAACAAGGACCAGGCTTAAGCACGCCATCTAAGGACCAGGCCTAAGCCAACCCGGTCGGCTATACTTGTAGGCCTTGATTGCAAGTCCGTTCTTATTACACTTATACATTTATATGGTTAGGACCGGTTAGATCTTATACTAAGGCCAGGACCAGAGCCGTTACGTTAACGTGCCTTAAATAAGGCTCGGGCCTAGTTTAACCCTCAATTCCTTCATAACTTTTAGAGTCCTGGAGAGCAACACATTGGATCCCAAAAGGTAAATTTAATAAGATTTTCCTTTTAGTGGTGATATTTCACTCCTGCAGATTACATGTAGCCACTAATAAACTCGAGAGATATGCAAATGGATCTCTCTATCAACAAACAGCGGTTTCCAGAATTAACACAATAAATTCTCAAGCCCTGCCATTAATAATCTCAATCCCTGTATTATGTGGCAGATAGGGTGGGTTAATAACCTGAATCGGCCACCGAGTAACCTATTCCGATTCACTAGTCCGATCAGGCCATTTCTTCAGTTTAAGGACTTATTTGAAGTAATGAGAAGTAAAAAAAACTGAGAAACTAACGGATCCAGTGTTCTCTTGAAACAGCTTGAACATGGCGATCTGACCAAGTCTTGCTACCCGAACATCGGTGGTGAATCCACCGCAGATTGGGAGCTTTTGGAGCGACTCGACTGCGACAAGAGCCAGTATATCACCCCCGAAACAGAGAAGCCAATGAACCAAGCGTTGTTGTATATGGTCACAAAGGCTGTAGCTGTGGATTTCAGTATCCCTAGTTTATTCAGAAATCCAGGCATCACAGGCAAGATCCCCATAACGAGAGCGGCCACGGCCGCCCAATTATAGCCCCTTCCATACCAGTAAGGCCCAATGGGATCGTCGGAATAGAGTGCTCTGAGATCCAGATTCGTGTGCCTCAAGAGGTAGTAGTCAACAAGCACGATGCCGCCAATCGGTCCCAACAAGGCCGAGTACCCAATGAGCCACGTATAAATGAAGCTCTCGCTCGACGCAAGCAGCCGCCACGGCTGGGCAAGAATGCCCAAAAGAGCAGTTAGCAGAGCCCCCCTTTGGAATGTAAAAATTGAGGGGCTCAGATTCACCAGGGCATTTGCGGGAGCCACCACGTTGGCTGCTATGTTGGTGGTGAGGGTGGCGAGGCTGATGCCCACGATCGAGAGGATGAGGGCCGGGGCGAAGTTGCCACTGATTCGGGCTAGGAGCTCGATGGGGCTCGATATTACATGGCCAAAGATGACTTGGGTGGATGAGGTGACAGCCAGGCCGACGAAGGTGAAGGCACCCATGAAGACAGGGATGGCTACCTGGCCGAGCACCTGGTCGGCCTGGCTCTTGGCGTAGCGAGTGAAGTCGGGGATGTTGATAGCGAGAGTTGCCCAGAAGCTGATGTTTGCAGTTAGCGACGGGAAAAACAGGGCCCAGAATTGGGAGGTGGTGAGGCTGGACGGCGTTGAGAGCATGGTCCCGAAGCCACCTGCAGTGAAATATGCCCAACAGAGGAGAGCACCGGTGAGGAATACCAGTATCGGGGCGGAGTACTTCTCAAGGTCCCTGATTCCCTCCATCCCCTTCCAAATGATCCCCATCTGAGCCGCCCAAAAGGTAAGGAAGCAGGCGAATTCAAGCAGAGAGGTCCCTAGCCATGGGAGTGTTTGAGCATAGGGAGATTGCCTGAAGGAGAGAGGCAAGAGGAGGAAGACAGTCTGGCCACCAATCCACGTCTCGATGCCGAACCACCCACACCCGACCAGGGCACGAAGCAAGGTCGGGAGGTGAGCCCCACGGATACCAAAGGCTGCACGTGCCAACACCGGGAATGAGATCCCGTAGCATGTGCCGGCATGGCCAGTGAGGATGAGAGGAACAATAAGGATGACGTTAGCAAGCACCACAGTGGCGATCCCTTGCCACCAGACCATTCCAAGCTCCACCAGGCTGCCAGCAAGGTAGTAGGTCGGGACGCCAACGACGAGGCCCACCCAGAGGCTACCGAAGTCCAAGGCAGAGAATGTACGCTGGTCTGGGGTCGTCGGCTTGAGATCGTCGTTGGTTAGGGAAATTGACGACTTGAGATCCTCGAAGTGGAAGCTTAAGGAGGAAGAGGAAGCTCTGAGTGGGAGAAGCATGGCGGAGCGATGATGGAATTTGTGCAGAAGAATACATGGGTTGTGTAGTTGCAGAGAGGGAGAGGGAGAGGGAGAGGTAGAGATGGGGCGGGGGTGAGGGTTGGTGATGGTTGGGAGACGAGAGAGATAGCAACGGTGGATCCACGTTGCCTCCATTGGATGTCTATCTGAATCCTCTTGTGGAGACCTTTTGTCATTTTAAACGATTGGATTGGGGTGGAGAGGGAATCTCCACGTCATCCAAGCCACGGACATAGTGGAATCAGAGGAATCAAGGGCTTATTGTATAACAAAATAGAGGGCAACAATGGAACTCCCAAATAATATACATGAGTATTTTAAGGTGAGGTTTGTATAAAGTGCGTATCTTATTATGTAGAAGTAAGGTGCACCTCAAATGTTACTCAGACGATGTATTTCCGGTGTTGGAGGTTTCAAAATTTATGTTCAATTCTAATTATGAAATTACAAAAATTGAGATTGAAGAGATCTACAAACACATAAAAATCTTAAAAATAGACTGTCTCAATAACTTATTACAATATACATTATATTTAGGATTTGAAATTCTTATTTAATATCCATACATCTTCAGGTTGAGATGATCAATTAGAAGGTTTTATAACTTTGAAACACTTTTTGCTACTGAATTTTTGAGGTGTATAGTATTTATAGTATATGGTTACAATCTTATATGAACTTCTTCCAAGTTTATTTAAATGGTTTAAATTAGGTTATGTTTGGGGTCGTATTTATAGTATATGGTTGCAATCTTATATGAACTTCTTCCAAATTTATTTAAATGGTTTAAATTAGGTTATGTTTGGGGTAGCACTTTCTTCGATATGAAAAGTCAACCGTTGAGGAATGTGGTTACTACCCACTAAATTTGAGGGCAGTTTAAAAAAATATTGAAAAATTAATGGACTTAACAAAAGCTAAAATTGAGGTTTGTGGGATGGGAATTTAGAGGGAACTTAAAGGAAAATATTAGATAAGTTTTTATGATATATATATATATATAGGAAAGGATCCTAGACTGCTACAATATCATCCAACAACCCAGATTGAATATGGGTCGGTCTGATGATTACAACTTCATTTCGTATTTGAATTTTCATTTTTTCTACAAATCCAAATCACTTGAAATTTTAAGTGTTCATTCTTCTCATTAAGGCACATCTAATAAAAATATAAAAAAATAATTTGTAAAATAAAAATTAACCAAAATACCTCCAAAATGTTTTGGATGTATTTTGATCAATTTTTAGCTTGCGAATTATTTTTTGAGAAAAAATCTCCATAGCTCTTATTTTTAGGTTTCATTTTTTGATAAACTCAAGGTTTTAAAAGATAGCTTCTAACCTATTAGCCAATTTAAACCTATTTTTTAACTTAAACAAATGTGAGAAAGACATGCTTTTTTAAACCTAATCCTTTTTCTCTCTTCACTTATATACCCTAAACTTCTCTCTTTCTCTCTCTTCCTACATCTCTAACTCTCTCTATCCTCCCGTATTTCTTCAAACACCTCTCTCTCTCTCCTCTCGGTAACCTTTTACCTCAAGAAGCCCTTCTCTCTCTCAATAGAGGAGGCCATGGCCATGGTCAAAACCCCTACAAATGCCAAAAACCAGCAAAGCCTAACTTCCAAAGACCAGAAAACCCTAATTTCTTCATCATCCATTCTAGCATTTCTTTCCACACCAACAAACCCTTCCCCTCAAAGATCTGCAAGAAAGGTCGTGTCCAATCCAGAATATTCTGCCATACAATACATAGTGAATTACGTCGAATCATTTGAGACGCCCAAACCTTCTAAAAATGGGAAAACAACTGGTATTAGAAAGGCAGAGGTTGTTCAAGAGGAAAATGGTTTGGTTGATGATGGTGAAAATAGCAAAAAATCCTGCATTCAAAAAAACAATGGGGAAAGATCGTCTGAGCTTTAGTTGTCTCCGATCTCTCCAGATATGTCAGAATGTATGAAGAGAAAGAGGTTGTTCGCTGAACCAGAAGCTTCTGCATTTTCTAGAAAGGCAAATGGTGTGTCCAGAACAAATGGTGGACAATCGGTTTACAGAAAAGGAAAATCAGGGCATTCAATTGAGGAAGATGGGAACTTAGGGAAAAATGTTGCTACGAAAAATGGAAAATTGAAGAAGGATTTTGCCAAAAATAGGAAGTCGAGGAAAGTTTCTGATGAACTTGTAGTGTTGAGAAACACAAGGTCCAACCAAAATGCAAGGAAAAACAAGAAAAATGAACAAAATTCGTAGAAATCCAGTGGCCATGGAGTTGAGAAAAAGGGAAACCTGGGGCTTAAAAAGAAAAGAGTGTTTTCTAAGAAGATTGTCTATCATGTGCTAAATTCTCAATTGGTGATGATGTCTATGTGAAGAGGAGAGAGAATACAAGCTCTGATGGTGAGGATCCAGAGGTTGAAGAATGTAAGGTTTGTTTCAGGTCAGGAAGAGCTGTGATACTTGAGTGTGATGAATGTTTAGGGAGTTTTCATTTCAGGTGTCTCAAGCCTCCATTGAAGGAAGTACCCGAAGGGGATTAGACTTGTGGGTTTGTGGGTTTTGTGAAGCTCGCAAAAATGAGGGGCGAGATGGGAAACATGAAGAGAGTGAGCAAGAGAGAGAGTGAGGGGAGAGAGATGGGAAAGACGGAGAGAGAAGGGGTACAGGAAGAGACAGAAAGAGAGAGAAGTTTGGGAAGATGGATTTTAGAAAAGGCATGTCTTCTTTGATTTGTTTGGCCCAAAAAACAGGTCTAAATTAGTTCAGGAGGTTAGAAGAAATAAAACATACAATTTTTATGCCCCAAGCTATCTTATAAAACCTCGAGTCTATTGTGAAATAACACCTTAAAAAAAAGGTATGGATATATTTTTCATTAGTTTTATTAGATTTCCCTACTTTTGAATAATAGACGTTCAAAATTTCAAGTGATTTGGATTTGTAGAGAAAAATAAAATTTCAAATACGAAATGAGGTCGTGACCATTAAATTGGGCCCAGATTCAATCTTGACCGTTGGCTAAAACTGTAGCAGTCAGCTAGTGTGACTGATAGGATCCTTTTTCCATATATATATATATATATATATATATATATATATACTACTACTACTAGTACTAAGTACGTAATATAGAATAGTAGTAGTAGTAAGTAGGTAGGTAGTTTAGTTTAATTTTAGTTTACGTTTAGTTT